AGCTGGGACCACAGGCGCCCGCCACAACGCCCGGCTATTTTTTTTTTGGTTGCAGCCATCATCGTTGTTTGGCGGGTCCGGGCTGGGGATTCGAACCCGACAGCTTAGGTGTACGTGGCTGGTGCCTTAGCCGGTTGAGCTATAGGCGCCGAGCCCAAGCTGAAGATTTCAAAGCAGTGGTTAATGAATGTATTAATAAGTTACTCTTCTAAGAAAAGCGTATAAACAGAGCATAGAAAGAAGTGAGCACTTATTTAGACTTGGAAATGTCTGTTTTGTTTGTTTTGAGACAGAGCCTCACTCTATTGGCCTAGGTAGAGTATGGCAATGTCAGCCAAGTTCACAGCAACCTCAAACTCTTGGGCTTAAGCCATCCTCTTGCCTCAGCCTCCCAAGTAGCTGGAATTACAGGTGCCCACCAACAACAACTGGCTAGTTTCTCTATTTTTAGTAGATGATTTTTTTTTCTTGGCCAAGGCCAGTTTGAACCTGCCACCTCCGATATATGGGGCCGGTGACCTAGTCCTTTGAGCCACAGGCGCCACCCTCTATTTTTAGTAGATATGCATGTCTCACTTTGCTTCAGCTGGTCTCCAACTCCTGGGCTCAGGCGATCCACGCACCTCGGCCTCCTAGAGTGTTAAGATTACAAGCATGAGCCCCCATGCCCATTTGGTTTTTGGAAATAGAATCTTACTCTGTTCTTTGAAGCTAGCATGCTATGGCCTCAGCTTACTGTAGCCTCAAACTGCTGAGCTCAAGCACCACCCAGTACTGGCCCTGAATGTGTATTTGTCTTATGCCAGACACTGTGCTTTGTCTTTGGGAAACAAAAGCAATAAAAATTGTATGCTCTGAGGTTCCTCAGAGTCCAGGGAAATCTTCGCTGTGACTTAGCTTAGAGGAATGTGAGGTGTCAGAGAATGCACTCAGCGGAAGTCAGCCATGAATGGGGCTCGAAGACACTCTGAGTTACTTGAAGAAGGAGGACAGATGAACTAATGAGTGCAAAAGAACAGTATGACTTCAGAGGAGACACGACTAGAACAAATGTTGGGCGTAGGGCTTGGGGAGAGGTAACACTAGAGAGCCAGGAGCTAGGTGGTGAAAAGAGTTGGAGCTAAATTAAGGGGTTCGAACTTTGTTGATGAGTCTTTCTAGAGTTTAAAGCAAGAGAATGACATGCTGAAAATATTTTACACTGTAATTCTAGCACTCGGGGAGGCTGAGGCAGGTAGATTGCTTGAGC